TTAACCCGATGGCTGTGTGACATAGGCCATAGTTATCTAGGGATCTTTTCCCAAACGCGGTGTAGTAACCAACTGCTAAGCATGTTAGGTAAAATTTCAGAAAATGAAGAAATCTGGCATTATTCGACTCGGGGACGGTATCGTTTGCTGCAGGTTGCCAATCATGAAAACTTTTACTCCCAAGGTGGCACTCCATCAGTATGACACACACTTTTAGTGTTCAAAAGTAATATAGACTACCACGACATAACTTTAAGAGTACTTTCTCCTTTGTTCATCGTCAATTACTCCATTTTTTTAAACTCTTGTTTATCCATGTAATCTATCATCTAAAGCAGTGTCCGATTGTGGTCTGTGTATCAGCTCATAGCCACAAGAACGAAATTGCTACCTTCAGAGTGTTCATTTATCCCACGTTACGGTCAGCAAAGTGTCTGTTCTTATGGTAATTGCCATCATCTTCCAATTCCATAATTACGGTAGATAAAAGGATAAACATTGGACCAACTTTTTCATAAATGGTTTTCTTGATGACACTTCAGATTCTTGAACAACAACAAGTTAAAGACTTTGTCTTCTGATCAACTTCCTTGTCGGATTTACTTGTTTAACAGCCAAACAAAACTGTAAGTGTGGTGGGCTCAGAATTCAGTGTCACTTTTCATTTCATACCGAACACAACTGAAAATAAATAGCCTTTAAAATGACAGTGAAGGAAAACAACAATTACGAAGACATCTGTTAGTTTTATGTACACAGTATTAAACTACATGATACATACATATCAGCTCCATATCATGGAACACTTATTTTTTATCGTTAAAAAGGTGCTACAAAGTACGCATAACCTACCCATGAAATAGTACAGACCTTCACTTCTAATATCTGAGTTATTGGAAGTGAAGGTCTGTACTATTTCATGAGTAGGTTAGGCGCACTGTGTAATACGCACCTTTTTAATGATACTGACAAAGTATGATAAGTTTGTTATCGTAGGTTCACTTGACACTTTCTGAGGACACCAGAAGCCTACTTCTTTCATTTTTTTACTATTCATGTCCTTTATATAAGCCACCGTCTCCCAAGCAGGGGGTTGAAGGTTGTGGTTTTTTCGTTAGCCACGGAAACAAAACTACCACTTACAGAGCTACATTTATCCAGTCAGAAGTTTCTGCTCTTATAATGATTGCCTTCTTCTTCCAGTTCCGAATTAACAGTGCATTAAAAGAAACAAGATTTAACAAACTTGGTACTAGCTGTTTTTTTTTATTATTATTACACCGCAGA